GATGAAAAAATATTGCCGTAAACAGTTTATTTTGCGACACCACGAAACAAACGATAGCGTAAAATGAAACGATAGACGTTTTTATATCATCATCAGATATATATCGTTATATCGAACAGCCCTAAGACTTAGAGTAACAGGCTTTATTGGACTGACACACTGATGCTCACAGTCACTGTTAATGCAAGACACCACACATATGAGACCTCATGAGCACAGAAGACGTGAACACGCAGTCGTCCTGCAGACGTACACTGCCACAACGCCACTGTGAATTTATTGAGTCTCCATCACACATGCTCATAACCACACACACACACACGCACACACACACTCAAAGTCTCCGGTCAGACGTCCTGATATCAGGTTAGTATGGATCTCCACAGGCAGCGGTTTAAACTGCATTAACACTGGAACATTTCGAGTTCATAATTACATTACAACTCCAGTGTCCTTCAGTTGTGTGTTTGTGTGTGTGTGTGCGCGCGAGATGTGTGCGGGTGTCTGTGTGTGTCCCAAACTAATGACTGTGGTCTGATGCTGAAGGGGCCCTGAAGATCAAGATGAGATATTAGATCAGTTATTGATCCTCCCTAATGCTGCTGAAAAATAAAAGGAATTTTAATTTGCAGCGATTAGCCCTTAACTGTGTCTGACTAGAATCCGGATTAGAAACTCATCTCCTGAAAACTGTACGGGACAGAAAACCTCGTAGAGCTTCAGCCAGATCTACATTTAAATGGATAAACGGGTAGAAATATTGCAATTTTTACGATCTAACTGGACAAAATGTGACCCAGAAGAGGATTTTGTCTGGACCAAGGTCACACAAATTGTATAATATTGAGATAAAATGATAAAGCCAAAGGTGAGATTCACCGAGCCGTTTTATTGTTCTGCAGAGACACTTTTCTGTCCATTATTCACACGGTAACTGAGGAGCAGGAGGAGACGTTATTTCAGAGGAGATTGTGTTTCAGATGTGATCAGACACTGAATTAGTGCATTAATCCCTGGCACTCATCTTGTAAGTGGTGATTATGGACACATCTGTACTAGAGATGGCACGATACCACTTTTTTATGTCCGATACCAATATCATAAATTTGGATATCTGCCGATACCGATATGAATCTGATATAGTGTGTTTTTTTTAATCAATAAAACGTTTTTTTTAATATCTTGCTGCTTTTTGTATAA